AGAACTGGAAGCAGCCCCTTCCTCTTCCTGAGCCCAATCCACAGAACTGGAAGCAGCCCCTTCCTCTTCCTGAGCCCAATCCACAGAACTGGAAGCAGCCCCTTCCTCTTCCTGAGCCCAATCCACAGAACTGGAAGCAGCCCCTTCCTCTTCCTGAGCCCAATCCACAGAACTGGAAGCAGCCCCTTCCTCTTCCTGAGCCCAATCCACAGAACTGGAAGCAGCCCCTTCCTCTTCCTGAGCCCAATCCACAGAACTGGAAGCAGCCCCTTCCTCTTCCTGAGCCCAATCCACAGAACTGGAAGCAGCCCCTTCCTCTTCCTGAGCCCAATCCACAGAACTGGAAGCAGCCCCTTCCTCTTCCTGAGCCCAATCCACAGAACTGGAAGCAGCCCCTTCCTCTTCCTGAGCCCAATCCACAGAACTGGAAGCAGCCCCTTCCTCTTCCTGAGCCCAATCCACAGAACTGGAAGCAGCCCCTTCCTCTTCCTGAGCCCAATCCACAGAACTGGAAGCAGCCCCTTCCTCTTCCTGAGCCCAATCCACAGAACTGGAAGCAGCCCCTTCCTCTTCCTGAGCCCAATCCACAGAACTGGAAGCAGCCCCTTCCTCTTCCTGAGCCCAATCCACAGAACTGGAAGCAGCCCCTTCCTCTTCCTGAGCCCAATCCACAGAACTGGAAGCAGCCCCTTCCTCTTCCTGAGCCCAATCCACAGAACTGGAAGCAGCCCCTTCCTCTTCCTGAGCCCAATCCACAGAACTGGAAGCAGCCCCTTCCTCTTCCTGAGCCCAATCCACAGAACTGGAAGCAGCCCCTTCCTCTTCCTGAGCCCAATCCACAGAACTGGAAGCAGCCCCTTCCTCTTCCTGAGCCCAATCCACAGAACTGGAAGCAGCCCCTTCCTCTTCCTGAGCCCAATCCACAGAACTGGAAGCAGCCCCTTCCTCTTCCTGAGCCCAATCCACAGAACTGGAAGCAGCCCCTTCCTCTTCCTGAGCCCAATCCACAGAACTGGAAGCAGCCCCTTCCTCTTCCTGAGCCCAATCCACAGAACTGGAAGCAGCCCCTTCCTCTTCCTGAGCCCAATCCACAGAACTGGAAGCAGCCCCTTCCTCTTCCTGAGCCCAATCCACAGAACTGGAAGCAGCCCCTTCCTCTTCCTGAGCCCAATCCACAGAACTGGAAGCAGCCCCTTCCTCTTCCTGAGCCCAATCCACAGAACTGGAAGCAGCCCCTTCCTCTTCCTGAGCCCAATCCACAGAACTGGAAGCAGCCCCTTCCTCTTCCTGAGCCCAATCCACAGAACTGGAAGCAGCCCCTTCCTCTTCCTGAGCCCAATCCACAGAACTGGAAGCAGCCCCTTCCTCTTCCTGAGCCCAATCCACAGAACTGGAAGCAGCCCCTTCCTCTTCCTGAGCCCAATCCACAGAACTGGAAGCAGCCCCTTCCTCTTCCTGAGCCCAATCCACAGAACTGGAAGCAGCCCCTTCCTCTTCCTGAGCCCAATCCACAGAACTGGAAGCAGCCCCTTCCTCTTTTCCTCTGGCTGAGTGTCGGGGTGACTACACATTCCTCTGGCTGAGTGTCGGGGTGACTACACATTCCTGGAATAATACACATCACAGACCCGCTCCTGACATGGATTGTATGCAGCATGCAGTGAACGTACCTTGGGCCCTATGATCTGTGCTGGGGGCCCCTTGGCTGCTCTTCCATCAGACCTCCAGCTGTCAGCATTCATGTGTGGCAGTGCACAGTGTGTGCCGCCGGTGCTGGACTTTGCCCCAGACAGATAAGGCGCCATGGTGACCATGAGTAGGAGCTTAGCACAGCGTGACACCGCGTGCATCTTATAAGAGGTAACATACAACCCAGCACACGTATGACTCGGATACCAGAGGACACACAACAGACATGGTCCTAGGGACAGCACATGTCATCCTGTAAGCTGGAAATGATCTTTCCCATCCCCCCAGAGGCACATAGGACAACCAATCAGATATCAGCTTATGTACTGTGGCGCCTGTATGTATGAGGGGGAGGGGCTGCATGTATGAGGGGCTGTATGTATGAGGGGGAGGGGCTGCATGTATGAGGGGGAGGGGCTTGTCCTGCCCCAGGTGTCAGTGCTACTGCTGAGAAGTACCAGGGTGAGATGACGCAATCTTCCCACCCACATTTTGACCCGAAAGCTCCCAGCCAATCAGCAGAGACATCCCTCTGACACCCACCACTGAGAGCGACTCTGTATTATGGGGGTACAGACTGCTCTATGGGGGGTCACGGTGTGGGAGAGGATACGGGGTGTCAGGGAAGTATTATGGGGTGTCAGGGAAGTATTATGGGGTGTCAGGGAAGTATTATGGGATACCAGGGGGTGTCAGGGAAGTATTATGGGATATCGGGGGGTGGTTATGGGGTGTCAGGGAAGTATTATGGGATATCGGGGGGTGTCAGGGGGTGGTTATAGGATATGAGGGAGGTTGGGGAGTGATAAGGGGTAACAGGGTAATCAGACAGTGAGTGAGAGGGGTATAAATACGTCCACATTAGGGTGACTCACCCGCTCGGTGGCTCATGTCCCCGGGCCGCCTGGTGTCTCCGCCTGACAGGCTCCTAAAGGCGTGGCTAGTCGCTGCCCGATCACTCCGAATCCTCCGATCTGTGCTCAACATAGCCGCCTGGACAGATTGTTTGCGTTCCGAGCCTCGCTCTCATGGGACAGTGTTCTTATTGGTTGCGGCCTCTTGTCATTTCTGATTGGACGCGAACGTCACTAATCGCTATACCTTCAGATGAAGCTACGACACGTGTATCACATGACAGACTTTATATGTGGAATGTAGATACACTGTGCAGGCCGAGTATGTGGAATGTAGATACACTGCAGGCCGAGTATGTGGAATGTAGATACACTGTACAGGCCGAGTATGTGGAATGTAGATACATTGTGCAGGCCGAGTATGTGGAATGTAGATACACTGCAGGCCGAGTATGTGGAATGTAGATACACTGTGCAGGCCGAGTATGTGGAATGTAGATACACTGTACAGGCCGAGTATGTGGAATGTAGATACACTCTGCACCCCCCCTTCTCTCACTGCCCAATGTACCTGCACCTCCCCTTCTCTCACTACCCAATGTACCTGCACCTCCCCTTCTCTCACTGCCCAATGTACCTGCACCTCCTCTTCTCTCACTGCCCATTGTACCTGCACCTCCCCTTCTCTCACTGCCCAATGTACCTGCACCTCCTCTTCTCTCACTGCCCATTGTACCTGCACCTCCCCTTCTCTCACTGCCCAATGTACCTGCACCCCGCCTGCCTAAACTACACCACATTTCCATCATCTCCCTGCCCATGTGCATTCTACCTCTCTCAGCATTCATCTTGTCTGCTCTCCCCATCTTCTCATCACTCACCGCACCTTCAGCCCCAATTCTCTGTCTGCCCATCCTGCCCATTGTCTGCAGTCCCTCTTCTGTCAGCACCCA